TATAGTCTGGTCACAACGACCTCCTCTGCTCCCTGTATTTATTTATTAGTTTTAGAAGTGAAGCACGGCCTCGTTCTGTCGTGCCAGTATTTCTGCAGTTTGATTCTGCTGAGCACACACGAATGCGCACACGCACCCTGGGCACGACCAAGATCCCGACAAAGGGCTCACCTATTTCTTCTTTGATGATCCGCTGGGCTATTCGATCAATGGTTCCCAGTTTGAGTGCAAAGGTATCTAAGTAGTCGCCTATGGCTGCAAACTCCAGAGGTCGACTCCTCAGCTTGTAGCCTCCGGTGACGTGCTTGACGGACTCGCCCACTCTAGACAGCAATGCCATCCCCTGCCTCTTGTAGGCGTTCAGGTCCTAAGGGTGACATGTTAACAGACAAACTCAGTCACTCCCACAGCCAGGATTCGGTGAACCAACTCCTTTAGGTGGTTTCTTCTTGGACGTGGAAGACTCCGGAAACAAGGACCCGAGTTAGAGGACTGACCACGTACATAGCAGTACTCCTCCCCTTGCCATTGGAAACACCAAGCACACAGGTGTGTGCTTTCAGCAGAGCACCTGAGCATGCTGTCCTTCAAACTCAACACTGTTTCTAACACGATTCTTTTAACGTCCCTGACAGAAGAAGATGAAGATGAAGAAGACAACGAACTCAAAGATGAAGAAGAAGTCTCTTTCTCCCATACAAAATATCCTAAGTCATCTTTAGGAACAAAATTCTAGAGCTGAAATTCATTCCATTCATTTATTTATATCTCAATCAAAGCCACATAAAGAAAGGAGGGAGAAGAGGGTGAGCGCAGGAAACAGCGACAGAAAAAGCAGTGCAAGAAAATCCAAGCCAAGGATCGATGTTGTAAACAACAAAACATTTTAGGGCAAAACGGGAAATACATTGAGCTACATAATCTACTGTATCTAAATTTAAAGAGCATATTAATCTATCAGGTCAAATAAACTTCCTATCATCAAACTCCAAGAGGAATCTGTAGCATCTCCAGATTGTTCTATGTCATGCCTTCAAAAATGGTTTCATGGGGCACCTAATGGCTCACTCGGTTGAGCATCCAACTCTTGGTTTTGGCTTAGGTCATGATCGCAGGGTCATGATGAGCATGGAGCCTGTTTAAGATTCATTCTCTCTCTCTCTCCCTCCCCCCTTGCTCTCTCTTTCCACCCCAGCCCTCCCTCACTTGTGTGTGCAGGTGCTCACTCTCTAAAAAAAATTTTTTTAATGGTTTTACAGAAGATCAGATGTCTGTTCCTTATATCCACCCTCAATACAAACAGAAAAGTAATTCCCAGTCCTAGTAGGGCATGTCTACAGGGAGATAAGGGAACATAGCACAAGGCCATTGCTTTCTGGTCACCTCGTCTGATTTAGGGATAGAGCAGAGAACAGGGAATAGCGGTTAACACAGCTGTCCTCCCATGTGACAACACACAATCACACACAATCACAGATTCCGATCTTCATAAGTGTCTGAAGTATAGTCTGCTCCTTCTTCTTTATGCAGCCAAAGCCTTCACTTTTGCTCTTGATCCCACTCTTTCCTAGCTAGACTTCGCCCACAAGCAAGGCTCCTGCCCCATTGGCCACTCCCTCTCCTGTTTGTATCTTCAACTTCTAATCCTTGAGTCTGTAAAATACGCCAGGGCTCACCCATCTTCAAAAAGGCAGCAATTTCCTCCTCCACACACCCTTGTCCAGTCTCTCCTCTTCCTTTTGAAGTCAGGCTACCTGAGAGAATGTTCTTCTAAAGACTGCATCTCCCCTTCCAACCTCAGATACTCTAGACGAAAAACATCCCTGCAGACACCAGGTTTTCACAAGATTCTAAGTGAAGCATGGCAGTTCTTGGCATTGCTTCTACAATATTTTTTGGAGTGGGGCTAGATCCAAAAGGGCTCGGTGGACTGCAGAAGCTCTATTTCAAGTAGAGGCTTAAAAGAGAACCCCCAGTTAACCAAGTCAATTCATATATAGAATGAAGCTATTTAGTAGCACCTGACTGCTGCACACCTTCTGCCAAATATGAAAAATACTTATTCGAACACGCTTGATACTGAGTATCTCCCCTACCCTCTCCAAGCCTTACTGGCTTCTTTGTAATGACACTTCCGGTTTGCGACAAGATCGGGTCATCCCAAGAAAGAGGAATACCTCTTCCTTCGCTGTGACAGAACATGTAAAGGGTTTGCCTAAGAACAAGACCAAGGGAGGAGGGCACTTGTTGGGATGAGCACTGGGTGTTGTAGGTAAGCGATGAGTCACGAGAATCTACCTCCAAAAGCAAGGGCACACTGTATACAACGCATGTTAGCTAACCTGACGACAAATTATAAAAAAAAAACCAAAAAACAAAAAAACAAGACAAAGGTTTTCTTTTTTTTTTTTTTTTAATTTTTTTTTTCAACGTTTATTTATTTATTTGGGACAGAGAGAGACAGAGCATGAACGGGGGAGGGGCAGAGAGAGAGGGAGACACAGAATCGGAAACAGGCTCCAGGCTCCGAGCCATCAGCCCAGAGCCCGACACGGGGCTCGAACTCACGGACCGTGAGATCGTGACCTGGCTGAAGTCGGACGCTTAACCGACTGCGCCACCCAGGCGCCCCAAGACAAAGGTTTTCAAGGTGTGTTAAAAGGTGGAGACAACAGAGGGGGAGATGGGGAGTCACTGTAGTTTCATGTCACACAGTGCAGTACACTGTTTCAGGCTCACAAGATGAATAGTCGTGTAAGTGTGTGAATATACTTAACGCCACTGAAATGTGCATTTTTTAAAATGGTTAGGGTGGTAAATTTTAGATGTATTTTACCACAATCAAAAAGAAAGAAAAGAAAAGATGGGGGTATTTGGTACATTTAATTCAACAAGAAGAACTGAATGAGGGTTAGAATCGGTTGTTTTAGAGCCAATGCTCTGCATTCGCTCGCGTGAAGTTGGATTTTGATTAAGACGCTGAAGGACTTTTTTTTTTTTTACATCACCTTTCATACTGAATACCATCCACCACACGCAAATCTTTCCACTTTATTTTTCGCATAGATTCCTAATGGCCCACGGTCCGTGCACTCTCTCCCATTGTCTCTCTGTTCAGTAAAGATGACCAAGACTGAGGCCTGCCTGAACAACGACCTGATACGTGGGTGAGGCACTGAGCTGCATGTGTGGAGAACAGGATGGATTTCACTCTGCATATGAGCTGAAAGAACTATATTCGAGGATGTGTTCACCAGGAAATACTTATTTTGAAACAGAACATGGGTTTGACATGGGCGGTGGGGGACAGGCCTCTGGGAAAAAAGAGAAGATGAATGGGCATGTCATCAATGAGGCGAAAAAATGTCAACTGAGGTTTAAAAAAAAAATACTAAAGGACTTTGTCATGTGGTTTCCATTGTCTGGAGAACGGCACCCTCTCTAAAATCTTTAAAATTGACTGACTTTAAAATATTTCTCAATTTTGCCATTTTGAGAAAGAAAACTGGGAATCCCGGAGCCTCAACACCCTTGCCAACATGAAACAAACTACCTGTGGCCTGAGTTTGGGAATATGATTCACGAAAGTAAACAGATGGGGCCGCGAGGAGCTGGCATGAGAGTGTGGGCAGGGTGTGTCAGACTTCCTGCCAGTTCCGCCAACCGGAAGTGCACAGAGAAGCCAGTGAATGGCCAACCTGGGTGTGAACACACAGAATCCGGCAACTACGTGGGACCCAAATGTTTCTCTGGCAAATGCTTGGAAAATGCCCACCCAATAGGAATTTGGCTGCGGGCAAGCAACACTGAACTAGTCTTTGTCAGGCAGTCTGATTTAGAGCGGAAGTTCGGCCTCTGGGGCCTTAAAGACCTAATTTTAAATCCCAAGTGATGCCACTTGAATATGTACCAATTCCCTGAACTTCAGTTTCCTTATCAGTAGAATGAGAGGTTGAGTAACCTCTCACAGGGTTCCTGTGAAGAACACCTTTATCAAACACTCATTAGATGTTCTTTCCCTCAGGGCCCACTTGTTGGTCAGAATGGCCTCACCTATTGAAATGCCAAGAAGAATTCAAGGAAACACTTATCTTTGTTTAGGCAAGTGAAAATACTTCCTCTCTGCTGCAGTGGGGGTGTTTCTCCTGAATTCTAACATGGAAACCAGGATGATGCAAATGGACACCAAAAACATAGAGGAATTTGATGACATCCACTATAGTGGCCCATTCCCAAAGGTGGTTTGTGAGAGAGCAAAGCAGCTTTTAAGAAAGAGCCCAAAGAGGGGCACCTAGGAGACTCAGTCGGTTACGCATCTGACTCTTGACTTCGGCTCAGGTCATGATCTCATGGTTCTGGAGATCAAGCCCGGTATCGGGCTCTGTGCTGATGGTGTGAGGCCTACTTGGGATTCTCTCTCTCCTTCTCCCCCTGCCCCACCCCCTCTTCTGCATGCTCTCTCTCTCTCTCTCTCTCTCTCTCAAAATAAATAAACTCAAGAAAAAAAAAAAGAGCCCGAAGAATGCTAATTTGGGGGAGGAATATGAAAAATTCTGTTCTTACCTTAGCAGTAAGGAAAACATTAAAGTGTTCATTGAAAGAGAGCACAGGATGATCTGTAATTCTTTTTAGGAATTTATCCAAAGCTTTTCTTCTGGTCTCCACAAACTCTTCCGAAAAACGATCTACAACACCCTTCACCACAAACTTCTCAGGAAGCGGCTATGAAGACAGGAAGAAAAATATTCAGAGTAATTGATAAGACCGTGGAAAGAAAAACCACAGGCTAGCAAATAATTCTTGGGACTCATTTGTCCAAGAACATATTCCTTATTCAGTTGGCTGTTTACGTAGGCATCAACAGAAACATTTCTGAAACACAGAGATGTAGTAAATCACAACTATCCTTCTCAGTTTTAGAACTCAAGAAGTAAAATGCTAGAGAATAGTCCCTGGAATACAGCAAACAGTCAGTCAATATTTATCCAGTAAATCCAGTCATGCTCGCTTCAGCAGCACATACCCTAAAATTGGAACAATACAGAGGTTAGCATGGCCTTTGCGCTAGGATGACAGTAAATCCGATAGTATGGCTATCTACACATTGCTTAACACACAGGGGGTACGACGAGAGAGTCAGGGCCGGAAAGATGGTCTAAGGAGAGAAGGCAGACAATATCAATCACACAAAAATTTATTTAAATATATTTAAATATATTATTTTAATTAAATATATTTCGATTCTATTCCCAGTTCAAGGGGTAAAAGAACTTGATGAATGTGAAATAAGTACATTAGGCAAACCCTTGTAGCTAAAAAATACCTTTTCTAAGCCAATCTTTTGTGTAGGTGTATGCTTGAAAGTTCTTCTTTTTTTTTTTATATATGAAATTTATTGTCAAATTGGTTTCCATATAACACTCAGTGCTCATCCCAAAAGGTGCCCTCTTCAATACCCATCACCTCCCCTCCCCTCCCTCCCACCCCCCATCAACCCTCAGTTTGTTCTCAGTTTTTAAGAGTCTCTTATGCTTTGGCTCTCTCCCACTCTAACCTCTTTTTTTTTTTTCTCTTCCCCTCCCCCATGGGTTTCTGTTAAGTTTTTCAGGATCCACATAAGAGTGAAAACATGGTGTCTGTCTTTCTCTGTATGGCTTATGTCACTTAGCATAACACTCTCCAGTTCCATCCACGTTGCTACAAAGGGCCATATTTCATTCTTTCTCATTGCCACGTAGAACTCCATTGTGTATATAAACCACAATTTCTTTATCCATTCATCAGTTGATGGACATTTAGGCTCTTTCCATATTTTGGCTATTGTTGAGAGTGCTGCTATAAACATTGGGGTACAAGTGCCCCTATGCATCAGCACTCCTGTATCCCTTGGGTAAATTCCTAGCAGTGCTATTGCTGAGTCATAGGGTAGGTCTATTTTTAATTTTTTGAGGAACCTCCACACTGTTTTCCAGAGTGGCTGGACCTGAATGTGAGACAGGAAACCATCAAAACCCTAGAGGAGAAAGCAGGAAAAGACCTCTCTGACCTCAGCCGCAGCAATTTCTTACTTGACACATCCCCAAAGGCAAGGGAATTAAAAGCAAAAATGAGGGGCGCCTGGATGGCGCAGTCGGTTAAGCGTCCGACTTCAGCCAGGTCACGATCTCGCGGTCCGCGAGTTCGAGCCCCGCGTCGGGCTCTGGGCTGATGGCTCGGAGCCTGGAGCCTGTTTCCGATTCTGTGTCTCCCTCTCTCTCTGCCCCTCCCCCGTTCATGCTCTGTCTCTCTCTGTCCCAAAAATAAATAAACGTTGAAAAAAAAATTTAAAAAGCAAAAATGAACTACTGGGACCTCATGAAGATAAAAAGCTTCTGCACAGCAAAGAAAAGTCTTAAAAATGTAATTTCCTGGGGTGCCTGGGTAGCTCAGTTGGTTAAGCGGCTGACTTCGGCTCAGGTAATGATCTCACAGTTTGTGTGTTTGAGCCCTGCATTGGGCTCTGTGCTAACAGCTCAGAGCCTGGAGCCTGCTTCGGATTCTGTCTGTCTGTCTGTCTCTCTCTCTGCCCCTCCCCCACTCATGCTCTGTCTCTTTCTCTCTCTCTCAAAAAATAAATAAATGTTAAAAAAATTTTTTTAATGTAATTTCCGTTGCTCTTACCCAAACAAATTTCTCTGTAATATTTACTTTGAGCCAATATTGTGGGCAATTTAAACCTACCTGGCTACTGAGGGATCTTTGAGCTTTGACCTATTCCCATAGTAGCTTGATTAAATGCTTGATTAAAAGGCCTTTCTTGTTATTGCAGTCACAGGGAGACTGCATGTCTGCTAGTGTGCAATATGAAAATGTTTGGGGTATGAAATATTAAAAGAACGTTTGCATTAAAAATTGGGCAAAAGATTGGTAGACATTTTTTTCAAAGAAGACCTACAAATGGCCAACAAGCACTTGAAAAGATACTCACATCATTATTCATTAGGGAAATACAAATCAAAACCACAGTGAGATACCATTTCACACCCATGAGAATGGTCATAATAAGGGAGGGAAGGAAGGAAAAACAGCAAAACAAAGAAAAGAACAATGTTGGTGAGTATTTGGAAAAACCGGAACAAGCATTTACGTCCACAACCCCCTTCAGCCCCATATTCTGACCATATAGAGTTTTTTTTTTCTTTTAAATTATAAACCCTCAGGGCACCTGGGTGGCTCAGTCAGTTAAGCATCTGACTCTTGATCTCGGCTCAGGCCATGATCTTACGGTTTGTGAGTTGGAGCCCCATGTCAGGCTCTGCATTGACAATTTGGAGCCTGCTTGGGATTCTCTCTCTCCCCCTCTCTCTCTCTGTCTCTCTCTCTCAAAACAAATAAATGAACTTTAAAAATAAATAAACCCTCAAGTTCACGCACATACACACAAAAACAGACACAGGACTTCACCAACCCCAAGAAGCAGAATCCTAAGGTGTTTGGAGTGGGGGAAATCAAGAAGCAATCCAGATTTAGAACCCTTTCAAAGGGGCGCCTGGGTGGCGCAGTCGGTTAAGCGTCCGACTTCAGCCAGGTCACGATCTCGCGGTCCGTGAGTTCGAGCCCCGCGTCAGGCTCTGGGCTGATGGCTCGGAGCCTGGAGCCTGTTTCCGATTGTGTCTCCCTCTCTCTCTGCCCCTCCCCCGTTCATGCTCTGTCTCTCTCTGTCCCAAAAATAAATAAACGTTTAAAAAAAAAAAAAAAAAGAACCCTTTCAAAGACTTAGAAACTGGCAACATCAACACCCCTCGAATGCAGCACTTGAGATATGAGGGGATCCAAAACCCTCAACTTGAAAGGGCTTTGGAAAGTCAGTATGATTTAACTCCTAAATAAAGACTGTGGTTCCATGCCTCCTGGGTTCATATCCCACCTCTGCCAAGCTTTCTGACTTCGGTCAAGTTCTGTAATCTCTTGGTACCTCAGTTTCTTTGTTTAAAAAAAAAAAAAAAAAAACTAGCAATAGTGCCAGCCTCTTGGTGTTGTTATGAGGATTAAATTAGCTACTAGGCTGAAAGTGCTTTAAACAATTCCTGTCACAGAGTGAACACCAATAACAGTGGCGGGGGGCGGGGGCAGGGGGGTTCTTTGTTGTCGGAGTGGCAGAAGCTTCAGGAAGTACTGATCTTCAGAGGCAGCCATGTTCAGTGAAATCTTGAGATGGTGGGAGTACGATGCAGAGAAGAGGCTATGAACTGAGGGGCTTCTTTTAACTAGATCAGGAGTTCTAGAGAGCACAGTGGAAAGGTTTGGAAACGAAGAAAGAGAGGGGAGTCAGGTCAAGAATAAAATTACAGAGCCACATGGAGATAAGATGTCCAAGTAGGACACCCAGTAGAGCTCATGACTGAGGAGAATATTAGAAATGCAGGACGGGGTCAGATATACAGACCATCCAGCCCAGTGTTCTGGCCTAGGCAAAAGCACAGGAGAATCTGTCTTAATAGGGTATGGTTGTTCTTTAGGATAACTTCCTTATTTTGATCAGTTCTTCCCCCATTCCCTTAGATGGCCATTGTCCTTAAACCCTACACTCAACCCCCAACCTTTCACACTAAGCAGATTACCATGTCTCTGAAGTAGGAACCAGGTATAAGGGCATCACATAAACATTCCCTAACCATGTTGCTTCCTCCACAGATAGACATCTCACGTCCATTTCTCAGGTCCCTGTGGACAACATACCTCCCCAATTCACCACAAAGCTAACTATTCCATCTGTGTCTCTGACCCATTACTTCACGATCATGCTTATGTTGTCATCAATTAATTATACCTTCTCTTTCCTGTATCTTCAACATTTCCTCCTTGGCTGGCTCTGTTCCTGAGTCTACAAAAATACGGCTCATTCTCTTTCTACCCAAAAATAATAAACCCAACTACCCCTTGACCTTACATCCTCTCCACTCTCCTTCGGGGCTCATTCAACTTTTTGAAAGAATTGTTTCTCTCTTTTTTTTAATTTGAGAGAGAGACAGAAAGAGTGCACGAGCAGGGGAGAGGGGCAGAGGGAGAGAGAGAGAATCTTAAGCAGACTCCATGTTCAGCACAGAGCCTGAGGCGGGGCTCGAACCCATGAACAATAAGATCATGACCTGAGTAGGGGCGCCTGGGTGGCTCAGTTGGTTGAGCTTCCGACTTCGGCTCAGGTCCTGATTTCACGGTCTGTGAGTTCGAGCCCTGCCTCGGGCTCTGTGCTGACAGCTCAGAGCCTGGAGCCTGCTTCAGATTCTGTGTCTCCCTCTCTCTCTGACCCTCCCCCATTCATGCTCTGTCTCTCTCTGTCTCAAAAATAAATAAACATTAAAAAAAAAACTAAAAAAAAAAAAAAAAAAAGATCATGACCTGAGTAGAAATCAAGAGTCAGATTCTCAACCAACTGAGGCACTCAGGTGTCCCTGGTCATTTATCTTAATTTCCACTCCTTCCATTGACTTCTCAACCCACAACCTTCCTCCACCCAAAACAAAGCTGTCTTTGGTTCTGCCTTCAATGCTACATTTCTCTGCCTTATCCCCATCCAATGCTGACTCCTTTTTTTTTTTATGTTTATTTATTCATTTTGAGAGAGAAAAAGTGTGCTTGTGTGGGCCAGAGAGAGAGGGAGAAAGAGAATCCCAAGCAGGTTCTGCCCTTTCAGCACAGAACCCAACATGGGGCTCAATCTCATGAACTGTGAGATCACGACCTGAGCCAAAATCAGGAGTTGGACACTTAACCGACTGAGCCACCCAGGTGCCCCCGGAGACTGCTCTTTTAAAGATGATTGATGAGGGGCGCCTGGGTGGCGCAGTTGGTTAAGCGTCCGACTTCAGCCAGGTCACGATCTCGCGGTCCGTGAGTTCGAGCCCCGAGTCAGGCTCTGGGCTGATGGCTCAGATTCCGATTCTGTGTCTCCCTCTCTCTCTGCCCCTCCCCCGTTCATGCTCTGTCTCTCTCTGTCCCAAAAATAAATAAAAACGTTGGAAAAAAAAATTAAAAAAAAAAAAGATGATTGATGACTTTCTAATTATCAAATCCAGTGGATATTTTTCTGTTAGTATTTCATGAATCCTGTTGAACACATTCTGGT